CTCCCACCTCCACCGCCCTCTCCGCCGGCACTCCGACGGCGGACCCGCTCTCCCCACCTCCACCTCCGCCGGCACTTCGTCGAGGGCGCCATATGCGCCGAGGAGGGGCAGCGATACAGTCGAGGCGTTGACCTAAGGAACGATAATTAAGGAACGAGGCCCCTTTCTTCCAGAAGTTAAGCTTCGAGTTCCCATCGAAGACCCAAGGACAGCCTAGGGCGACCTGCAGAACAACTGAGGAGCACGGAGCCCCTCCCAAACGAAAAAGGTTCCTGCTTCAGCGCCCCGACTGTACACGATACAGTCGGACCCAGGAGAGAACAGCATCATCCAAGAACATGGGACCCTCCTCAGGCCACAGCACAGGAGCACATCCAAGGGTACCCTCCGCAGGGTGCCCAAGAACATCCAGCAGGCACGAACCACATCGGATCATCCTCCCCGAGCCGACCTCGATCTTATACGCTCTTGTACCCCGGCCCGGCTGTAGACAGGGACTGGCTCAGGGGAGGGGAGCATCACGTTGGACTCGGCGAGACACGCCCCCCGATATAGATGGGCGATGGGCCCTCGACAGCGTCAATCCGAACGTGCGTGTGCGGGGTGGGCTGTGGGGACACTATCTCGGCGATCAGTGGGCGGTCGGATTATTCGCTTCGTTTTGCCTGGGCTTCAATGCGGCCGCTGTTCGATTCGTCCTGTTCGATTCGTCCGTTTCAATTCGCCCGCTTCGCAAGGCTGAGAAACGAAAGAAGACAAGACGAGACAGATGACGAAACGAGCGAGGACGAAACGAACGAGTACGAATCGAAAGCGGGCTGTCGAACACGGACGACATGAACGTCCACTGGCAATCGGGGGTCGATGCGTCCCCCCCGGGAGCCTGATCATCCCCTCCTCAATTAGAGGCCTCCTAGATTGGGTCCGAATAAGTGGGGTCGGAAGATCGCACCGCATCGCCAATGCATCGGCGATGCACCGCCGGTGCATGGCCGACGTCGGCGGCGCATCGGCGTCGGCGTAGAGAAAATCGGGCTCCGCATCGAGCCGCATCGTCGATGCATCGGCGATGCGGCGCGATCCTCCTTCCCCATCTGCTCTGACCCCATTTAGGAGGCCCACATCAACGCTGCCCCTGAGCCGAAGACGAAGCCCTCCCTTCGCACCTTTGTAAATTAGGTTCTCCGAAAGGCGTCGCCCGGGGCTAGCAGCGTGGCTTTCCCCGAAGGCCTGGACCCCCTCCCCGAAACCGGATGCCAGGGAACGGGGAACCCTAAAGGTACCGATGCCACGGAACCGAACTCTATACACACCGACGTTGTCTCTGGCCCCGCGCTGAAATTTGCACAGGAAAGCGGATCTTGGTGTACACAGGACCCTGGTGTATACATTTGTCGTTGTTTCCCCGGGAAGCGGTTCAAAAACATCCACACCACACCACCCCGACAACGTCCCCGCCGACCCTCGAAAAGTGTTGGGAAAAACAGCTGGCCACTGGTAATGCAGATGTCCAAAGTTCTGAAATACCGCTGCTTCCTGGACCTATCCCGGGGCGCGTTCGCACCAGCATTCCGAAGTGAGTTTTGGTTTCCAGCGTGGGTCTAATACTATAGAGAGTCATGGAACAAACGTTGACACACACACACACAGATTTTGCCTATCTGTGCGTATGCGGTTTGGCGAAGTGGGGCGGCATCAACGCGACGCCAAGGAGCGTCGTGGACTCGAACTTTTTGGCCTGGACGCACGCCGCGCACGACTAGCCACATAGTGAAGTCGTGCAACCGATCGCTGTGTTCTGGGGGGGGTCCCCGGACACTCGACACACTGATCAGCTGAGCGTTAGCTGGCGCCCGCCTCACCCTGCGGCGGCGATGAGGGCATCCCAGGCGGCCCCAAAAGTGAACACCGGGGGAAGGACTTGTTTGAAGGGGCCCTGGGACACACAAATAAATACACACAAATAAAAAGACTCCCCATATTTTCCTATATTTTCTGGGTTTTTGTCTTCCCCCCCACTTCCCATATTTTTCCATATTTTCTGGGGAATCGACGATTAATTGTGTCTGTGTGTTTTTTTTCCCTCCTGATTGCTTCCTCCTCTGAAGCAAGGCGGGGCCCTCCTCCAGAGGAACGCGAGGACGCGGCGCCCAGCGGTGTGACTGCCGCACCGCGCTCCCCAGCCGGCGCTGCTCCTCGCGCCGCTGCTCCTGTCTTCGCCGACGCAGCGTGGGCCCAAGTGGCGCGCCTGCACCGCTCGCTTTCAACGCGCGGGGGCTGCGACACGGTGGGGGCATTGGGTGAACCACCATCCCAGAGATTCGACGCCCCGAACGGCCTGTTGTTTGACCGTCTTCGGCCTCCCTGGGCCCTCGCTGGGCCTCGGGGCCATCAACAAAACAACTCAGCACGAGAAGCGGGCCCTATGGGAGTGGCCCAGACCACGCGTCGAAAAGATTGGAGCAGCCAGATACCTGGGACTGGGCCAAGAGGGGGAATCCAGGGTCTGGAGGCCGTTGGAACTCCAATCGTGGATAGACTGGCCATGGGCATCACCGCAGCCCCTACTGCGGGTGGAATATTAATCAAGGGGTGGGCGATTAACTTCCGACGGAGCTTGCCCATCCCCCCCTCCTCCACCTCCTCCGCCTCCACAATTACACAACATGAATACTACTCTCCTCTCTCCCCCGATGACGTCCGAAAGATATCTGGCCCCCATCCGCGCACTATTAATAACACACACAGGATTCCTGGGAACAGGGTTTTCGTTTGGGTTGTTGTCAAAATGTTGTTCCCGCTGAAACGTTGGCTTCATTTTCGGACTTCCGCTCGTTAAGAATCGTGCTCCCGCTGCGACGTTGGCCTCATTTCTGCGCTTCCGTTCGATCCGAATCGTGCTCCCGATGCAGCGCTGGCCTTCAAGTAGGCCCCAGAATCTAGAACATGCCCCCGAAAAAGACATCGGACGTGATTCCAAACTCGGAGTCGATTCATTAATTTTTTGGGACGCAAAAGGGCCCACACACACACGCTTTGGGGAGACGTCGCTTTCAGGAAGTATCGAGCGGGAGCCCCGTTTCTGCTTTGAGAGGGCGATGTTGGAAGCAGAGCCAGCGGGTGCCCTCCATCAGCCCCGCCTTGTGTGGAGTTTCTCGGGGAGAACCAACGAGCCAGACATGCGATCCAGTTACCCTCGAAAGTACCTGGCGCCATGCGATGACATGCTGTGCGGTGTTGTGTTCTGCGCCGCTGTGCGATGCCATGCTTTGCGTTGCAACGGTTTGTGATGCAGTGCTTCACTGCGCAATGCCACGCCATGCTATGGCATGCTACGCTCTGCCGTGCTCTTCTACGCCATGGCGTGCCGTGCTCTATCATGCATCGCGTACCCTGTCGCGATCATTGCCCTGCTCAGCTTGTCCTCCTCCTCCTCCTCCTCCAACCCCCACTCCACTCGTTCCGACAACACGTGCCCAACCCCCCCAGCGGATCCAAGTGTGGGGCAATTATTGACCCAGCCAGAGATTTCGACGAGAAACCGTCCAGGGTCTGAAGCCTGCTGCGCACATTCCTTGAGCAGGGACCGACCGTCCCGGCCGGCATTCCTGTAGGCCTACCACGGCATGCTCTCAGAACCCAACAGTGTTCTAAGAACAGAGCCAATGTTCTTAGAGCACCAGCCCGATGGGTCAAAACGAGGCGGTCCCAGCCAGAAATGCTCCAAGAACATGTCGTGCAGACCACAAGGGCCTATCAGAACACTCCCTGGTGGCCCTCTGGGCGAGCCAGGGCGCTTCGCCACTGCTCGAGTCCCGGGCACCTCCCTCCGCGAACGCCCCCGCCGGAGGCCCGAGGCCGGGGCACCCCGCGCGGCCGACGAGGGCAGAGACGGCCAGTGCCAGAGGCCACGGTGCAGCGGGGCCCTGCCGGAGCACCCCGCGAGGGGGCTCCCGAGCAAACGAACGAAACGTCTTGGCGGACCTTCGGCCCCAAAATCGGCCCACGTCTCGTTCTCTCTTGGGCCCAGAGCGGCCGATGTTGGGCCCCGAGTCGGTCGATCTTGGGTCCTGAGTCAGCCCCGAAACGCAGATGGTGAGATGACCATGTGGTGACCAGGAATCTTCAAAAGCCAGCGCCGGGTTTTGGGACACGGGGTTATCGCCGGTTTTTTGTGACTCCTGGACCCGCCACAAGCGTTTCGGACATCCTAGAAAGACCACACGGGTCCCCAAACCGGGTGGTGACACCAAATGCCCGAGTGGTGTCGCCAAATCGCCCGAGACTCACCGGCGGGTGTTGTCACCACCACGTTTGGGGACTACCGACGATGGCCGATAATGAGAAAGCAGCACCGGCGTGCTGTTTGACCGTCTGGCCTGGTTGTCTCCCCTCGACTGCCTGCGACGGACCAATTTGCCAAGGTGCACTCAACGGCGAAGATATTCGTATCCACGCCCTCGCGGCCTGAAACTCTTGGGCGCGCTCCCGAATACACGCGGTCGCATGGATACGCTCCGCGCGGAGCATCCGCGAACAGAACGCCTCATATACATGGGATCGCGGCCCAGGGGCCCAGCCCGCGAGGCCCTGTTTTTCCCCTCCACACACGGGGCACCCCGCGCGCAGCCAGATATAGGAACAAAGAAATACGATACCAATAATTACCAACAGGGCGAGGAGCTGCGAGGAGCCATGGGAGGCTCTCCCTGGTGGTGTGCCCCCCCCCCCCCCCCCTAAAATCGAGACCTCCCCAGCCTCCAGCTCGGGCAGGCATCGTGGACCTCCTCGCCGGAGGTGGCCCCCCTGGGGGTGCCGAGGAGGAGGACGAGAGGAAGAGGAGGAGGAGAGGAGGAGGAGGAGGAGGAGGAGGACGAGGACGAGGAGGAGGAGGAGGAGGAGGAGGAGGAGGAGGAGGAGGAGGAGGAGGAGGAGGAGGAGGAGGGGGGTGCTGGTGTCGCATCTCCTCCCTCCGAGCCGGCGGCGCCGCCGGAGCAGGCCTCGACGCGGGCCGCCGCCGCAGCCGGGCCACGGGGGACCCGGGCGTGCCATTGCGACCCCGGGCGCGCTCGCGCGCCGGCGCGCGCAGCGCATATGCGCGCCTGACAAAGGTTGGCAGACGGCGGCGGCGGTGGCGGGCGAACCGAAGCAGGAAGGTTCCCTCTCCTCGGACGCTCTACAGTCGGGGCGTTGACCTAAGGAGCCCTAAATAAGGAGCGAGGCCCCTCTCTTCCATAAGTGAACCTTCGATGTCCTGTCGAAAACATGGGGGAAGCCTGAGGCAAGAGCTGTGCAACACTTGAGGAACGCGGAGCCCCTTCCCAACGAAAAGGGTTCCTTCTTCAGGGCCCCGGCTGTATTTTTGCTCGTGGCGTCGGGCCACCTATCCCCAGGGTCAGAGTCTCTCATCCCGAGCCGTTTTCGGTTGGCGCTCCAGGGCCGGAAAACGGTATACGGGTAGGGTTCGCATGTGGCCCCCTGTCCTACTCAATAGCTCTGGGGGTTCCTGTAGCGTGGGGAGGGTGCCTGGAATCCGTGGGAAAGGTGCCTGCATGTAGTCCGGGGGGAACCAGCAGTCCGGGGTGGGGTACCTATACTCCAAGGGACCTGTAGTCCAGAGGGGTACCTGCAGCCTGGGCGGAGAAACAACGGGCCTCCCCCCCAAACAAAACTCCGGCGAGGAGGCCCAGGCCTCGCGGGCGCGGAGCAGGCGCCGACCCAGAGGGCTGCAGGCCGCTGGAGCCCCCCCCGCGCGCGCGCGCAGAGGCCGGGCAGGCGCGCGCGGGCCGCCGCTCGGCTGCACGTGAGAGCGACCCTGGGCAAGAGCGACCTTTGGTGCGCGGCTTCTCGGGGGGCGCGAGGAGGCCAAAGACAAGCGCGCAAGACGCTGCTATCGCACCGAGCGCGGCGATCGGAGGACCCCAGTGAGCGCGCACCCAAAGGTCATTCCGGCGAAGGGCCATTCTTAAGGTGTAGTCGAGCAGCTCCTGGCTCGGGCAATCATTAGTGGGGGGGGGGCGATAGATGGGGGGGTAAGAAAGGTGCACCTTTCGTGCACCTTTCGTACCCCTTCGGAGCCCTAGGGGGCTCGTTCGGGGCCCCTTTGGGACCCCTTTCGTACAGCCCTCGACGCCCCCCCCTTTGTCGCGCCCTAATGACCGAACACCCAACTGGCGGCTGCCGAAGGCACTCCCGGCACGAAGGTGTTGCCCCCAGAGGTCCTGGGGCACACGGAGACATGCTAACACTAGTAGATGTCCTCCCTGGAGGTGCGAGCGTCCGACTGGGACACATAGGAGACCCATGCTGTGGTAGATCGTTGTCCGAGCGGTGTGGCCAGAAAGCGCCCGCGCCACGACGCACTCACTCTGAGATTACTCAGTGCGCGCGTCGCCCCTGGGGGGGCAACGCACACATAGTATTACCGTGGATGGAAACAATTAACGCGACATTAATTCGTAACGTTGGAATTTCGCCATGCAAGGTGTGCGGGTTCCAAGCTGGGCACAGTCGGCGACCGCCGCCAAACATGTAAACGTACATGCGAACCACAAGTATAGTGCAAGTTTTTGAGCCCCATATTGCCGTGGCCCGGACTGCATTCACTCTCTTGGAACGGCGGACTTTCAACGTACTGATTTGGCTTCGCGAGAACTTCTCACATCCACGGTCATATGTTTAGGCGGCGAGCGAGGGGGGGAAGTGAGAAGGGGCGGGCCTTCCCAGAAGGCTCGGAAGTCCCCCGGCCTTCTGAGAAGTTTCCCAAGCCTTCCCTGAAGACAACGAGAACTTCTCAGAAGGCGCGAGGGGTTTTGAGAAGCCCCGCCGCCTTCTGAGAAGGCCTTCTCCTTCTCACTACCCCCCTCGTTCGCCGTCGAATGTTCGGGTGACGTCGAGATCCCATCTGATCGGATCTCTGGGGGAGACACCGCCTCCGTGCCGGCCGCTCCCATTTTGTCCAGAGCGGTGCCGCACGGCTTTTGTTTGCCGTTCTCGGCCCCGGGGGGCCCCTCGCATTGCCTTGGGATCGTCCGAAACCTATACGAAGGACGCAACACTGGCCCTGGAGAAGTCCCTGAGATCCGCTGTTGCAAAACAGCGCATCAGAGGTGGTCCAGGCCTCCGGGGCCCACACATCGAACAGAGTGGAGCGGCCGGATGTCCGGGCCAGCTCTTCGCCCGATGGAGAATCGTTTCACCGTCTCCATCCCCACTGGCATGGCCTTCTGGCCCCACTGGCCGACGCATGCAACCCCCCAGGTGGGGAAACATGGTGTCCTCTCGGCCTTCGCGGGGCTTCCCCCCACCTAGGGGAGGGGGGGCGGGTGGGGCTGAGACACAATGGTCCAGTTAAGATGGGGATAGTTCCCACGAAACTGCGCTCTGGAGGCCATGGGCAGAAGAAAACGGTAAAACCACACAAACGGGTCTTGGCCCCCTTGCCCCGGGCGACGCCGGAGGCGCCGCCAGGGGGGGCTAAGCGCAGTTATGTGTGCGTGTGTGTATATATATATATATTTATATGTATATGTATATACGTAGCACCCCGCAGATGCGGATAAGAGTGAGGGGGCGGTGGAGAAGTCGGCAGTCTGCGAGACTCTGGAGAAGCCCGCCGCAGGCGCTAAAATGTTACAAATTATATGACGAGCCCGCCGCAGGCGCCGATCTTTTCTTCAAACCGATGTGGATCGGTCGCGGGTGGGTCGCGGGTGGGTCGCGGGGTGGGTCGCAAGTGAGTCGCGGGTGGGTCGCGGGTGGGTCGCGGATGGGTCGCGGAGTGGGTGGCGGCTGGGTCGCGGGGTGGGTCGCGGGTGGGTCGCGAGTGGGTCGCGGGCAGGTCGCGGGTGGGTCGCGGGATGGGTCGCGGGTGGGTCGCGGGCGGGTCGCGGGCGGGTTGCGGGCGGCTCTGGGTGGGGACGACGCAACGAAACAACAACAGAACAACAAGAATTCTCGCCGTGGATCGTCACTTCAGCCACGCACTCAGGGACAGTGAATGACCGTTCGGGCCCCCTCACTCTGATATACATACAAACATACATTCATACAGACAGACAGACATACACACATATGTATGTGTGTACATATAGTATGCGTATACATCAATCGCGCGCGCGGACCTCCGACAGATAGTGCTGAGTGCAGCTCGAAACTTCCTCGAGCGAGGGCACACGCACACCGCAGCTCCTGGGGGCACCTTGGGCCCGGGGCGCCGCCCAGGTGAATGTGGTTCCCATCGCACTTGAAAGGACCACATCCACATCCCACGAGCATTGTCGAGCACCCCCCCAAAAGAAAGTATCGAAACAGTGTCGAACGAGTATCGCCTCCCAGGGCCCGACGCGTGAACACCCTCATCATTTTGGTACTTCCTTGGTGTTCGAAACTCTTTCTGGTGATCAAGGCTACAGTAGGTTGAAACACCATCGCACCAAGTCCAGGCAATGGGGACGATCGCCACCTCTTCCAGGAGAAGGCTCCCCCATGGGATCCCCCACCCTGTACTTACGGGGGTGCTACAACATAGCCCTCCGGACCTGCAGCTCTAGCTATCTGGACTGCCTAGAGCGGCTCCTAAAACCTCGACAGAAACTTAGCTGTCGAGGTCCTGGTGCTACTTTTTTGCCCTCCTGGAAGGTCAGGGCGGAGACCCCTCCCCAGGACTCCCCGAGGACGCCCATCGGGTCCGACGACAGGAGAGGTTAGCGAATCAGCTCGCGTAGCTGCTTTTTCCGCCGCCTCCCGGCGCAAGGAGGCGCCACTGCATCGAGGACAGGCGCCCGGTGACCGGCCGAACTGCTTTCGACCCCCCCCCGGCGGGGGCGGGGGGCCCCCGCCCCCTATAGATTTCGCACCCCGGCTCCCTGTGCCCCCCTTTCGTCCGACACGAGCCCAGAGACGCCCAAAACCTCGACGATCCACAACCCTCCTGGCTCCTCGATCTCCACGAGAAAGGAAGGGGGGGGCTCCCTCACCGGTGGCCACCCTTGTTGGCGCTGCTCTTCCCCGGCAGCACCCACAACGAGCGGGGCGGCAGCGAGGGTCCGGGCGCCTCGCGCGCGGTGCCCGGCACCTCCGAGAACTTGGGCTCGGCGCCGCCAGCCCCCTCCGGGTACGGGCCGCGCTGGAGGGGGGGCAGGATCAGCAGTCAACATCGACTCGGGGCGTCGGCTGCCTAAGACCAAGGCAGGGGAAAGACAGATCCAGACGAGGTATTCATTGGTGGGCTCGTTTTCCACCACCACCACCATAAGTAGGATGGGGAGGGGTTCCTCCTCCTCCTCCTCCTCCTCCTCCTCCTCCTCCACCTCCTTCCCTTCTCCAACTTATGGTGGTGGTGGTGGAAAACATGCCCATCATTCATATCGGGAGTCTCTGCGGGCGGGCGGGCTCTGGCAGGTGCCTCGGGCGCCGCGGCCGTCTCGAGAGCGCCCTATGGACCGCTCCGAGAGCCTCCGGGCAGCGATCTGCCCTGCGTTTCTGCGTTTCTCGCTATGCAGCGTCTTGTCGCGCGCTCCGCGGGCGCGGAGCGCTCTGCAGCGGCCCACCAGGGCCGTGCGGGCGCTCAGACTGCGGCCCCGGGAACCCGGCCCCGAGGGAAACAGGGAGCCTGGGACCAGTAAATCATAGAGAAGGGAGAGAGGGGCCGGGTTTCAGTAAAGCAAAAAGGTGAGGGCCCATCTGGGCCCTCGGCAGGCGCCGCGCGCGCCCGTGCCAGCTCAGCCAGCTCGGCCCGCAGCCAGGCCTCGGCCTCTTTGTGGGCGGTCGGCCTGTTGTGTGGCGGCTGGGCTCCCTTCGGCGCCTCGCGCTGAGCCCAGCCGCCAGGTCATCAGGTGGCTGGCCGCCTTCTATGCGGCGGCCTCCACCCTACGGCGCTCAGCGCTGTGGAGGTCCGCCGAGCCTCTGACTTCAGCGGCTCTGCAGCGCTGTCCTAGCCTCGGCCTCTTTGTGGGCTGTCGGCCTCTTGTGCGGCGGCTGGGCCCCCTTCGGCGCCTCGCGCTGAGCCCAGCCGCCAGGTCATCAGGTGGATGGCTTCCTTTTCTGCGGCGGCCTCCACCCTTCGGCGCTCAGCGCTGTGGAGTCCGCCGAGCCTCTGACTTC